TCCAACAAAAATCCTCCCAGAGTTCCCAGCAAAATCAGAATGAAAACCGCCCAACCGGGCCCAGCTGCAGCCTTGTTCCAGTAGGATGTCACTGCTGGAAAGCGGGGCCAGATGGGGTCAGGGCGACAAGCCAGGGCAGAGCCAAATCTTCCCGCCAGATCATTCGATCGGGGTGGAGGGAGGCGAGGGACGGAAAGTCCCTTTGTGTCAGCAGCCTCCTGGACTATGCTGGGCAGCTCTGAAAGGAGGGCGCCGATGGCTGGGAGCGGTGTGGTCTCCGACGTGGGAAGACCCGAGGTGGCTGAGCGTTCACTCGGCCGCTCTTCTTCCATCACTAGGCTCTCCATGAGGGAAGGGGCAGCGGGGCTGTTGCCAGCATCGCCTTTCTCGGAGGAATCACTCGATTCACTGCGAAACTGCATCAAAGAAATGTGGTAGTGTCGTCCAGCGCGTAGCGTCCCGCCACAGAAAACCACTCAGCGGAGCTGCTACCAGCATCGCTTTTATCGAGGGAATCATCTGATTCACCGCACGGAAAAAAACATTAGAAAAGGTGATGGCGTTGTCCAGTGAGTAGTGGCCCGCCACGGAAAAACAATCCTCGGCACTTACCTTGAACAAGGCTGCTCGTCTCTGCTTCTCCGGGGGGGGGGGGGGCGACCCAGGCATCCTTCGTAAAAGTTGTGCCGGTCAAAGCTGGACATCTTTTCCTTCTTCGTTCTTCTAACAGTGCTAGCTAGCTGGCTGAAGAAAATCTGGGAGCCGATTGCCCGGTCTCACCGTAATTTATACGGACCGGGGGGTGGGGCCCACACATCCAGTGGGCGCAGACTAAAGTTTTCAGTGCTGCGTTGCGTGCAAAGGGATAAACCCACTAGCGATAGCCTTAAAGGGCAAATCCTATACGAAATAGAAGAAAAGCTTTGCAGAGAGTGGTGAAGGCTGTACAGAAGTCTGTTGGAGTCAGTCTCCCCACCATCACAGACATCTACACATTCAGAAGCAGGAAGAGGGCCACCTGCATCATGAAGGACCCCACTCACCCAGCACATACACTTTTTGCCCCTCTCCCCTCAGGAAGGAGGTTGAGGAGCTTTAAGTGTAGAACCACTAGACTGAAGAACAGCTTCTACCCTGAGGCTGCTAGATTCATGAATCTCTAACTAGAATAATCACTGTGAAAAAATTCACATCATGTTGTTTCATGTTGCTGTGTTCATGCGTGCTCATCTGCTCACAAAGACTCATGTTCGTGCTGCTGTTTGGACTATTATTTTTATGCTATTAGTGCTTAGTGTATTTTTAGTTGATGTTTTTCTTAGTTCATCTTTGATCTTATTAATGTTTTTCTTTTACATTTTATTGTTGGAGACAGCACGGTGGCGCAATTGGTAGAGCTGCTGCCTCTCAAGGAGCAGGTCCCTGGTTCAAATCCCGGTCTAGGAGCCTTTCTGAGTGGAGTTTGCATGTTCTTTCCGTTCATGCGTGGGTTTTCTCCGGGTACTCCGGTTTCCTCCCACAGACCAAAAACATGCATGTTAGACTGACTGGTAACTCTAAATTGTCCCTAGGTGTGAGTGAGAGAGTGAATGGTTTTTTGTCTCTATGTGGCCCTGTGATGGACTTGCAAACCGTCTAAGGTGTACCCTATCCCTCGCACAGTGATTGCTGGACATGGGCACCGGCGACCCCCATGACCCAAAATAGAAGAAGTCGGTAAAATATAATGGATGGATGGATGGATGGATGTTGGATGTAACTGGGACCCTGTGTACACAATCTCGTTCCACCACATGTACCACATGTGGTGCGAATGACAATAAAGCAACTCTGACTGACTGAGATTCACCATCAAATGTTAATCACGGGAGGAGTGGTGGTGCAGAGGTTAGAGAAGGTGGGCCTGTAATCTGAGGGTCACCGGCTCAACTCCCCGGACCGACACTATCAAAATGTGGGTGGACAAGGTGAAACACCCACACCTTCCTCCACCTTCATTTGCTCCACCTTGGACTGATGAGCAAGGCCCTTAACCCCCCAATTGCTCCCCTGTTGCCTCAGACAGCAGCCCTCTGCTTCACATGTGTAATGAGAAAAATGCAGATAATTAATTTCCCAGTTGGGGATTGTGCTTCTCAATTATTTTTGGTTACGCCCCCCTAGGAAGAAGTAAACATTTTGCAACCCCCCCCCCCCCCAACTCTCCGCCACGACTGTAAATAATATAATTTGTCTAAAAAAATTGTTATAAGTACACCTCTGCATAACATTGTACCCTTATTAACATTAAATAAATAAAGAAAGAAATATAGATCAACTTAGAACAAAGATTATTAACATTGTTTTGTAGTCTGTAACAGAAAAGACAAAGTGCATCAATTTGCCTGAAATTAAAAATATATATATCCTTATTTAAACTGTAAACATTTTTGACCATTTGATAATGAACAATCAAATTAAATACAATCAATAAATAATAATAAATTCAAATTGATCAGCAACATTTCAAGTCAGGAGTGTTTTATAAAACACTTTGACCTACAAAACAAAAATGAATAAAATATATATATATATTTTTTTTTTTAATCAAAATGAGGAAGTCAGGATTAATGGCTACAACGAGCACGTTTTGAAATGCACAGCTTCTTGAAGCAGAGTTTGAAACATGATCCTGCAACTCTCAGCTCCTGTTCAATGTTTAGCTGGACCTGGACTTGGTCTCAGTGCAGCGACACAGAGAAGTCGCAAAGAGCTCAAGAGTGAGCGGGCTGGCTGTGGGAGGGGGTCCAGGGGAACGCACTCACAAGTAAGTTGTTTAGTGACATAAAATATATTTTGTTAGCAAATAATAGAGTCCTAACATTGTTAAACATCTGGCATTGCTCCGCCCCCCCCCGCCCCCCCGCCCCCCCCGCCCCCAGGCGGGCGCGCCCCACTAATTGAGAAAGACTGCCCTAAGATGACAGATGAACTTTGAGGAGACTTCAGCCTCTCAGTTAACTGGAATATCTAAGGCTGGTACCATTTAAGCAGCTGTTGGAACCATGCTCTGACCATGTCATCCTGGTGGGAGAGAGACGTTTCAATGCCTTTCTGGTGACCCTACATCACAACTTATCAGACAAACTTAGCTCACCTTAGACACAATTTTAACCACTTCACAAACACAAACCAGTCCTAAGTCTGCCTTTTAAGTTTCACTAATTTGAATAGACAATTAGACCTTTGATACAAAGTTATTTGTTATTCAGTTAACTTTTGTTATGCATAATCTTCATCATATATTTCACAAATTATTATTTTTATAACAAAATACATAAAATCAACTGAATTTGTGATTATTTTGGCATATCTGTGTGTACTAACTGATTTGATGCCCTTTAAACACAAGAAAAGAACTCACTACATTATTTTTGGGTAAATAGACTGATTTTTCCTCTCCGAGAGGTGGTGCCCACACAACGAGGTTATTTGCATAATAAATGCATATCTTATGAGCTTAACTCATAACTGATAATTAACAATAAGTTTAAGCCCCATATCACTTTACAGGATGAATAGAGTACAAAAAAACAAATAAAATAAAATAAAAATCAGTTTCTGTGATGAAACCAGGATGATCAGAATATTTCTCTCTTTTTGCATTTTATTTACAGACTATCTGCTGGAGTCTGTGCTGACTTGCACTCAGACCTGGGGGGTCAGGGGCTGATAAATAACTTCATTATTCTGCACTACGTCTAATCTTTGTCCAGTCATTGTTATTTCACTCCTTATTTGAGGCTGCAGCATCCTGAGATGGTAAACTTTTAGTGTTAGCATTATTTCCACAACACCTAAAAATATTACAATATATTATCTAGTTGTTTTGCTCGTCGCTTGTTTATTTATTTCTCACAGCACAGTGTGACATTTGTTAAGATTTATCCTTGACGCTTATTTAATTGTCTCCAATTGAATTAAATTTAATAAAGATGACATGATGAAGAAAATGATAAATTGACTTGTTACACGCTTTAAAAAACTTTAGTAATGTATCAAACTGGCACCATCATTGAAAGCCTCCCTTCCAGAGCCTGACCTGTCAGCATGGCCCTCCACAGCTGCAGAAGTCATCCTGATCTCTTTTCGCAGGTCTCCGCACTCAGACACCAGAAGTCTACCCGTGTCTGTCCCAGCGATCACTCTCTGTTCTGACGTCCACGCATGACACAGGAAGTTGACAGAGTCCATCTTTGCAGCGCTGCTTTGTTTCAAGGCTCCCTCTGAGTAACGAAACAGCTTCAAGACTCCAGTTCCAGTTACACACAGCTGCACGTTGTTGTGAGGGTTGAAGCTCACCTGATGGGACGGTATAATGTTCACAGTGTGCGCATGAAACGTCATTTTCTGGTAAAATACAGCATGACAGCTGAGTGTTGAATCACGAGGCTGAAATTTGCTGCAGACACTGAAACTTTGCTAAAACAAGTAAAACACTAACTAAAAGCTTAAAGAGGCAAGATGTAAAAGTTCAAGTCAGCAAAATGCTAGCGAATAGCATGAAAAGGGTAAAATAATGGCTGAGCGTAGCAAAATAATAGTTAATAGCCAGAATAAAAAAGTAGCAAAACAATTTATTTACATTTTATTTTATTTAAACAATTTATTTTAGCAAAGCTAAAATAAAAGAAGCAGAAAGCTAGGTAAACTACGAAAGGCTATTGAAAAGCTAAAAACTTTTAGGTAGAAGACTGTAGTTAAAACCTAAAAGTACTAGAAGGGTATATAAAAACAAAAGGTAGAAAAATGGTAATTAAAAGCTAAAAGTAGCATAAGTAGCTAAAAATAAAATAAGTATGTTGATGTAAAGTTCAAAGAGAATGTTTTTTGGTGGAACTGAATAGATCTCAGTGGAAGACGTTTCTACATAAAGTAAAATATTTTGAAAAGTAAATGGAAATGGACTGTATTTATTTAACACCTTTCTATCTAATGGATTAAAGCTTTTAAAGTGGCTGAGTGGTTAGAGCAGTCGTCCTCCAATGTGAGAGTTGGGGGTTCGAATCCACCAGCAGCCACATGTTGAAGTGTCCCTGGGCAAGACACTGAACCCCTCATAGCCTCAGATGTGTGTCCCATCAGTGTATGAATGTGATAAAGCTCTGATTAGTCTCTTTAGAATGATTTGTTCAATTAGTTTAGTAGAGATCTAGTATAGAGCTGTATGAATGGGTAAATGAGGCATAGATTGTTGTAAAGAGCTTTGAGTATCTTAAAATACGATAGAAACAGTCCATTTACCATTAAAGCTCTTTACAACACAATCTGTGCCTCATTTACTTCCACACACACACACACATACACATACATCACTCTACTACACTCATACATCACTCTACTACACTCATACATCACTCTACTACACACATACATCACTCTACTACACACATACATCACTCTACTACACACATACATCACTCTACTACACTCATACATCACTCTACTACACTCATACATCACTCTACTACACACACATACATCACTCTACTACACTCATACATCACTCTACTACTCTCACATTCATACATCACTCTACTACATCTCTACAAAGATAATCTCAATCTGTAGAGACATCAGAGCTTTCGATCACATTCATACACTGATGGGACACACATCAGAGACAATGAGGGATTCAGTGTCTTGACCAGGGACACCTCAGCTGTGACTGCTGCTGGAATCTAACCCCCAACTCTCCCGTTGGAGGATGACTGCTCTAACCACTCAGCCACAGCTGCACCAAAATGTATAAAATAACAACAACAACAACAACAACAACAAAGTCACAGTATCCATCTCCTGACTGGTCTGAATGTTTTGATAACTGTTTTGATAAATGAATGACTAAAGTAGCACAAAAGATGCAGAATAGTTTGAATGTGAGGAACAAATCAGGTAAAGCTGCCTCGGAGTTCACATCATCATAGCTCTTTACAACAACAGAGACTCACCTGTGTTACAGGATTATTGGAAGTAGTGGTCTTCACGGTGGCAAGGACCCTGTTTTTTTCCCAATACCAGAAGATCAACATCCACTCTGGGCCTCCTGTCTGCCCTATCAGGTACTTGGAATCAGGTGAGAAAGCCATGCATAAGAACTCCTGAACCAGCATGTCGCCTGCAGTCAGAGGTTTCCTCTTCCTGCCTTGCTCGTGGTGAAGGTCAAACACAGTGATGGATGCCTTCTCGGCCCTCTCTGATACGGCCAGGTAACGACGACTGGGACTGAGGGCCAGAGCACGGATGTCCTGACTTTTCTCTGAAGCTGGAGGAGAAACAAAAACTCAGAAATATATATATTTAACAGTTTCACTGAACAAATGCCTCTTGCCTGTCTCAGTTTTAAACGAAGATGATGGAGCTGCAGCTGTTTTAGTCAAACCTCTAGAATAACAGCATTATGCGTGACTTGATGGACTCAGAGTACGACTCCACCAGATCAAAAGTTTAGTTAGTAAAACTAATTAACTTGTTTTTTTTAACTAATGTTGATTAGATGATTGACAAATCAATCAAATGTATATCCAGGATTACTTTAAAAGACTTTTGTTAAAATCTGTAGTGATAACATATTTTGCTAACAGAAAGACTGGGCTGTGTCCAACTGTTAATGCTAAAGCTTTAAGCAAAGATATCATGTGATGATGTAACATAATTAAGCATACGAAGCTAATAAGGAAAACTCCTCAAATTTTCCTCAAATTATTAAAAAACCAGGACATTTGTTAGAAAGCAGCTGCAGGGGGCGCTGCTGGAGGACTGTCGGGGAATCAAGATGGCGAGTCCTTAGAAAGTCTACAGAACTCTCAGCAACACCAGAACATTCCCTTGAGCTGGGGCTTTTTTAACAAACTCCACCAGAGGAGTCTGACAACTCGTTAAAAACAGCGACCAACTCGTTAAAAACAGCGACGCTGCGAACGTTCCGCGTTCAACAAACCAGAAGTTGGTGTGAAACCATTTAGACCACATCTAAAAAAGTTCAGTCTGGTCCTCTGGACAAAAAAAAACAAAACAAAACACAAAACAAAACAAAACAAAACAAAACAAAACACAAAACAAAACAAAACAAAACAAAACAAAAAACAAAAAACAAAACACAAAACACAAAACACAAAACAAAAACCAAAACAAAACACAAAACAAAACAAAACAAAACACAAAACAAAACAC